TATAAGTTTCAACTTATGCCATAACAGGTTAGCAATTTTGAAAGAGTACTCAGAGAAGAACTTGAATGTGAAAAACGTTTTTGAAAACCTCATTTGGTTAAAAAGATATGACATTCTAAAGAAAAAAATAGTAACAAAATGGCGGACTTCTGTAAGTTCTTTTAAAAGTTCCAGTTTTTTACGCCATAAGTCGAAAACTACTTTTTGCTGTCAATCTTATGACGTCATTTTCGCGCCAAAAAACCGTTAAAATAAAAAATCCAAAAACATACGATTGTTGGGAATGCAAAGTTCTATTATCGTGCAAAGTCTCAGCTCAAACGGTTAAAAATTAAAAAACTAGTTTGAAAGAGATCACTTTTTGATGACAGCTGGCCCGGGGTGTGGTGATCGGTAGGAGCGTTTGTCAACACTTTTGAGTCTGTTTTTTGTTTTCAGGCTAAAATTGCGCCATTGATACTTTATATTATTGTTGAAATGATTTGGTCTACTGTTACTGAGAAATTAGACCGTGAACTTTTCACGACAAACATTTTGTTTACCTTCTTTCAAACCTTCCCAAGCAGGCTTGAACGTGACGTCACGATGGCCAGACACATCGGATTTTCATTCGCCAATATCTGCTCTAGTGCCTATGACTCCCTCCTGGTTATGGTCAATTGACAGCTGTCAAAAAGGGTATCCGCTGACCAATGTACCTAACTTTATCGCGGGCTCAAGTGTAGAACTCATTGACGTGACATGTTTTAAAGGTATCCGCTGACCAGTTGTTGATTTTAATTGATCGTCGGCTCAGGTCCATAATGAAAAGGCCATATAATGAATAACTTATTACCCTCGTCTGTTCGGTCACAGGGGAATCTCAGACCTCGGTCTTGATGTATTGACCTCGCTATCGCTAGGTCAATACATCAAGGCCTCAATCTGAGATTTCCCTTTAATGACCTCACTCTCCGTTAAAGTGTTATTTATTGACCACGCTGGTAAGATAAATGAAACGTAAGATTGCTGAATATTAGCCAAGTTTTTTTGTGCACTGCAACGAAGGCCGACATCCAGCCATCTTTGGTCAATAAAGGATTTCATACATGGCCAAGATATCTTAAAAAGAATTTGTTTTTGTCGGAACAAAAGGCCCAATTTAGGCCCAACCTCCAGCAGGTAGCCGTTGAAAATCTTTTCTGGATACATTTAAATTTTATTGGAAATAAATTGATTTCCCGACATTCTTTCACGATTTAATTAATTTCTAGACTTTTCTTCCCTCCGTTACCTCGTTTCTTTTACGGCGTAGCCACGTCAGGAGGTCACCAGACGGAACGTATTCTATGACCAAAAAGTTTTGATCCTTAAGCGTGTGGCATCCAACCAAGGATACAATATTCGTGTGTGAGCCCAACAGCTTCATTTGCTCGATTTCAAGCGTCAACTCTTCTTTCTGCGCGTCGGATGGATCATCTAGTGGTGGTCAAATACAATGGCGTGAAGTCACTTATTTTTGTTCTTTGTGACTGCATTTTTTGTTCACTTTTTTTGCTATCAAAGTTATTTTCACCCATTGTTTTCTGGAACCCATTCTAGCTTCTGATGCACAATTAAAGAGAACAGATATATTCAACAGTGTAATGTCTAGAAAACAGATAAAGTGGCATTGACTTATGGGTTGGTTAGATCCTCTTCTATCATGATATGCATTCAAATTAAATTATTCTTCCAAAGTTTTGATTGGTCTATAGGCAAATATGTCACTACAGATAATTACTTACGGACGATGATCTGCTTATACCCAATAAAAAGGATAGTAAATTTAAAAAAATCCAAGCTTGACCGGGAATCGAGCCCTGACGTTTACGATGACCGGAAGCAGAAATGCAGCTCCAAATTTGTGGTCTTAAAGACACAACATTCTCTTACGAATGAACATCCCAACTTTAAAGAATATTGAGAAGCTTTAGAGTGGTGCACCTTGATAAAAGGGGACTAAAATACACCACAAAATCAAAAAGGTCATGGCTTTGTCTCCGATCATGAACACTATTTCTCACCATGCAGAACTTTGACAGCAACCACCTGAGGTGTTGTCTTAGTCGATAATAAAGTCCGCTCTGAAATCTTAGTGTCAAACACCTCCATCCCAATTCTTTTTGTATAGGTTGCTTTGTAAACCACGCCAAACGCTCCTCTTCCCAGCTCTTCCTCGTATTTTATTTGCTCAGGCAAAATTTCCCACTTGTCAAGAGGAATGATCTCGAATTGTGAATAAAGTGATCTAGAAGGAAAAAATGATAAAAGCCGGATTATGTCACACTAATAAAGTGTTTCGTATACAGCCTTTCC